ATTGTTTTTGTGTTTTTCTTTTTGTTTCCTGCTTGTTTTTTTTTTTGTTTTTTTTTTTTGCAGGAAGCTGAAATTTGTATAAGCAAAAAAAAAAGTTTTAGTCCTGGTTTAGCCATAGTCTAGTCCAGGAAGTGTGAACCCATCCATAAGAGTGAAAAATATGCACAGAGAAGGCCAGAAGTCTACTACAACCGTTTTCATTTTTAATGTTGTATTTAGAATGTATTGTATTGTGTTTGTTTGCTTTGTTTCTTATGTTTCTGTTAGTTGATCTATTAATTTTTTGTTCTTGTCCTTTTGTATTTACCTTTATATGTCTGTATTTTTAATGAACCACTTATTCTTTATATTTTAATTTATGTCAGACTTATCAAAGTGCAGTATAAATATGTGAATCTGACTAGAAATTTTCACTGTATGGCATTCAAGTTAATAGGTGACACAAGACCAAGTTACAGACCAGATCTGTGGAGAGGCAAAACCACTCACAGTTTGAGTACATGTTTTCCAAGAAAATAAAGCACTTGTAATATAATAAAAAGAAAGATCAATAAATTTAATGTTATCCTGTAGAAACATTCCAGGCAAAGTTACCACCAAAAAAGTTACACTGTGCTCCTTTAAAATAGGTAGTTTATTTGGTGATAAATAAAAGTACAAAATAAAAGACAGTATTTGTGAATCTAATGGGAATAAATTGAAGTATGGGTATGCTATGGTTGTGTGTTGAAATTGTATTCTGATAAATATTCATATAAAACACGTTTTAATATTTTGGTATTTGACATGAGTCTGTGTCTGTGGTATGTGATGCATTCTCACTGCTGCAGGAGCTCCACAGGTCAATGATGGACAGGAGCAGCTGACTCTCTCTCCTCTCTCTCCCTCCCTCCCTCCCTTTCTCCTACTCCTCTCTCTTTTCTGCCCTCTCTTCCACTCCTCCGTCTCTCTCCTTCTCTCTCTCATAGCACCTCATTCACTGACGCCTGCTTAGCCTCATTAGCATCTCTGCAGACTTTACTTAACACCACAGAATAGTTGGAATAGCATTACTATATTTTCACTTTTCTACTTTTGATTGTAATCTTATTATTAGCAGAAAAACTTTTGAAATAATTAAAATAAAAGGCTTGTTTACATTTTTTCATCTGTTTGAATGATAGAACAATATTTTATAGTTAGGTATTAATGAATATTAATGAACATAAAAATATGTTTGTTTGTTTGTTTGTTTGTTTTCATCTGGTAGGGGGGGTGTCACAGGGTTGTCTCCATGGAGATGTAATTGGTTTGCCTGGAATGTTCCACAGTACATCATTAAACTTATCTAGGTTGAATTCATGGCCTAGCACCAAAGTACATCTCTGGCATGTTAGTACCATATGAACCATCTCGCACTCTGAGGACCTTGGGGACCGACCTCCTGCTGGTGCCCAGAGGCAGGACTAAACACAGGGAGTCAGCGTTTCAGCATTTCAGTTTTATGCAGCTATACCTTGGAAGTCTTCCTAAAGATGTGAGACAGGCCTCTACTTACACTCTGTTTAAATCCAGGCTCAAAACAGTTTTGTTTAGCTGTGCATGTGACTGAAAGCTTTTCATGCTGCACTTTTCTCTCTCATTTAACGTCTCTCTCTTTTTAATTGTATGATGATTAATGTTTTTATTTGTTTGTATTGTAATTTTAATGTATTTCTTATTCTGTAAAGCACTTTGAATTACTTTGTGTACAAATTGTGTCATACAAATAAACTTGCCTTGCCTTGCATTTTTTAAAAAGGTACTTTCATTACAAAACATAAACATATATAGCTTGAAAAATATACATTCATACCATGAGCAGGCCCCTCTCCAAAAATCTGACCTGTAACAGCTTGGTGGTGTCACAGTTACCCTGTTTTATGAAAGGATGTTCATTTCCCGGTGAAGTACCTCCATTTAAAAGAATGACATGTCAAAAATGTATTTCCGTCAGCTCCTCGGGGAAACGAGGGAGACACGGACAGAGAGAAGAGTCTAATGCTTAGTCACTGAAAATAATATGAGAGGAGAAGGTTAGAACAGCTGCAAGAAAGACAACCACAACATCAACACGACCCATAGTTAAACATAGGGCCAAGCCACATTCAAAAACAATGAAATCCACTGAGGTAAGAGCTCTAATGAAGGTTCTGTGAAGTTTGGAAGGAATTATAACTATGGGACAAACACATGTGTCAGCTCCTCTATTAGAAATGACAGCTTGGTTTCCTCAGTGGGGGATGGTGATGATGGGGGAGGGTTTGGTGGTTTTACAACTTCAAGGTTGGGAGAAATGTCACACGTTTTGATTGTTAAGGAAGCAATGTAATTTAAGTTGGAAAAGAAACAGGACTAAAAGCTGAGTGACCAGTTAGAGGCCACTTCTGTCTGTGTTAAAATAATGAATAATGTGTTATGAATAATGTTGTACTTTTTATGTGATTTTATTGATGTTTAACAGATTAATATAAAGCCAAAATTAAATTTAATACCATGTTCCAGGCAACTGAGAGTTTGTTGTTTCCAAATTGATCATTTAGAATTCTGACTTCAGAGCGTTCCAACTAAATCAACTCATATGACGCATCAACAACATGACTATATATTATTATTATATTTTTATTTTTTTGGATGCCTTCTTGAGCCAACATCTCTATATCCCTCCACAAAGTCTGGATCTCTTCCTGCTGGTTTTCAGTTTCTCAAACTGTCTCTCTAGTTGTTCATCTTTCTCACAAACAACTTATTCTTTGGACTCTGTCTGGACTTTTTGCGGCTGATTTTTCAGATTTTTGACAGCTGTCTCTGCAGACATCTCCATAGCTGCAACTGTATTGTCAAGCTCCTCCTGGTGCCTCTGTTGTTGCATCCTCTAGAGCTTTCTTCAACATTGCATCTTCATGCTGCAGTCTAGCTATCCACTTAACCAGGTTGGTGATAGGTAAATTCTCTGCCACGGTCACTTGGTCTTATTTGTCTCCCCAAAGAACACTTGGACATTTATTATTATTTAATTATACGCTTGGGAAATATAATTTAAATTCTTCATATGTTTCATATGAACAACTGACAATAAACTTTTTTGAATTTGTTTCCTCTGCAATTATGCTATCTAAACCTTCTATCAGATTTTTGTATCTACAAATGCTATTCTGCATCACCTGATTTTTTTTTGTCTCTCCTCAAACAGCATTTGAGAAAAGACAGACTTGTCCTGCCTTAAACTCGTTCCAGTTCACTTTGTTGCTTAAGGACTTCCTCTTTCAAATTTTGGACAAGTTCGCAATTTACAGTAATAATAGCACCAAAGGCTTCTAAAAACTAGCATATCTACAATTACGGTTAGCCTCTTCAAATTATTGCAATCAAACAGTTTCATCAGATGTACATCATATTTTAATCGTACAATACATCAATCACAGTTTAACCCCTATATGAAAAAGGGACTGCTGAGGGACTCAGGGAATTTTAAGCTTCAGAGCATGGCATTCCAGGGCAATTTTCTGAAACAGAGATGGGAAAAGGCCCATTTCCTAGTTGCCTGGAGTATAGCATAAGAGCTTGATGGTGCAAATGTGCTCAGATGACCCATCCCATGACACAAACAAAGCATTTCCCTTTTGATTTCATTTTACTACTGGCTTGAAATACAAATCAGGAAGTACTGTAAAAACAGATTCTAACCACTAATGTTAAATGAATCTGAGGTTAATTTGAGGATTAACATTGGCCTGAGTCATCTGTGTCACGGGACTAATCTCATCATTTACCTGGACTGTGGCCCTAATATCTTCTCTCTGTTCCTTTCCTCTTTACTGCGGTGGACCATCTTAAAACCTGGAAAGCAGTGGACTCAATGAGCTTAGACTTTACCTGTAAGTCATTTAACAATAACAACACATTTCCATGATGTTCACAAGCATGTTGTTATATAAATGCTCATACACATTTACATATACTCCATTTTACTTTGACTGCTCAAACAGGCAGGTTGACTAATCAGATTCTCGGGTTTAGAAAAGGGAATATTTCCAACAGGTGAAAATATACAGCATATACTTATAGATACCCTCATTTATCCCCCACTTTGACAAATCTTTACAAAGATGCATGGGTCTGGAACCATATCCTGTTTCCTTGAATTGAGATAAGCCATTCAAAGAGAAGCATGTTCCATTTGTGACTAAATAAACATAGAGTATAAGTATAAAAGTAGAATAACTTGCAGGACTCAGAACCAGTGCCAAAATCTTCAACAAATGAAGACCAAAATTATTATTTATCTCAGATAAAATAAGTTATATATTTTGTTCTGAAAGATACAAAATTTTCAAGAGCAGATGTCTTCTGCATTTGAGATACATGTGCTACAAATCAGCAACCGTGATTGGACCATCTCATAATCAGATGGAAGTTTTGTCACAATCTGTCTGGTCAGAATATTTACCTGGTCTGACAGGTTTTTCTGTTGCCCTAATATCTTCTCTCTGTCCCTTTCAACTTTACTGCGCAGACCATCACATGCTCTGAAAAGCAGTTTGCACAACAAATTACACATTTCTGTTCATATTTCTAACCAATGCTTAAAGGAACAGTATGTAAGATTTTGATTTAAAATTCCCTAACATAATTTGTGTACTCAGATAAGAGTTTGAAATTCTTACAGTTGACCGTGTCTGAGGACTTTTCTATAGCCCTATAATCTTCTTTCTGTCCCTTTCCTGTCCCTTTTTACTGTTGTAGACCCTCACAGGACCTGAATCAAAAACAATTAAGGAGACACAATTTCATTTATTTTCTTAAAACAATGTTACGTTACTTCCTTGTTTGTTTAATAAATACTTCAAGGAGTACACAGAAGGATCATCTTGACTGTAGATACCACAGCCCAATGTTAGTAATTCCTTGCTGCTAACAAGAAGGGAAAAAATGCAAAATTTGTTAAGATAACTGAAAATAAATTATGACTGACACTTGCACACAGATAAAAACACTTTATTCACTGATTATTGGTAGGGATTGAAAGACAAAAAAAGTATGCTATATTTCAAGTTTTGCATTTCAATCCCTCTCTGACCATTTTTTTGCAGGCACCGTGTTAAAATAAAATACTAGACTGTACACATAAGGAATGGAGCGATAAAAACCACACCAAAAAGTCCGGTACAATACTGACTGCAAGGCCACCAAAATGGGCTAGACTCGGAACAAGTCCGTTAATATAGTCCCAAGCCATCATATTGACCTGAAAACCGTGCTTAAATTTAAATAATTCAAGTCTTATTTTGAAGGGTCGATGTCCTCTTTCATGTTCAGTTCTGACCCTCTTAAAACATAAAATAAATTAGTTTAGGCCCATCTCAGATTCACAGGTAAAGAGGAGAGAGGAGGGTGTCATGACCGCCACCACTGCGTTGCCTTCATCCTCGATTCCAAGCTCAGTCCTGGGGTAAATCCAGCAGAGGGCACACTCCCGAAAGGGCAAAGGAGGTGAGAGGTGAAAGTTCATCATCTCACACGAAGTCGAGACATCATCCACTCAAGACCCTGGCACAACCTGGCAAAAAAAAAAATCAAGAAAATGTTTAGAAATGCCTTTGTGATGCATAATTTTTAAATGATTTTAAAATATTTGATGATCATTTTTGAAGGTAACATTTTCCATACTTTTTTAAGTCATTGGTGTCTGCTAAAGAGATATTAGCACAAAGCATTAATAAAACACTAAGCTAGTTTTAAATCAGTCAAGTGGCAGTGTGTGAAGAAATGTTGAAAAAAAAAAGTTTTGTGCATATTGCACAAATATACACACAATTGCATAAAAAGTACAAGAACAATTTACTCAATTTTCTGACAGCTTCTGACATTATGGTTGCTAGGTAACAGTGGAAATTGTTTCTACATATGGTACATCTGCTGCCCACGTCCACCCAGTAAAAATAATAAATTTTACCAAAATTGTCCCACTATTGGAAAATATGCTTCCCCCCCCCAAAAATCTACAGCTATGCTAACCACGCTTTAGTTAAATGAGTAATCAAACTCTAACCTGTGTCTAAGATTTAAAAAAAAAAAAAAAAAAACTACTATTACTATTAGTAGTGCTAGCAGAATTAGTATTAGTAGTATTAGTCGTATTAGCATTACTATTAGTATTATTATTACTAGTACTATTAGTATTATTATTATTAGTAGTAGTAGTAGTAGTAGTAGTAGTAGTAGTAGTAGTAGTAGTAGTAGTAGTAGTAGTAGTAGTAGTAGTAGTAGTAGTAGTAGTGGCAAGTGTAAAAAGCCTGTAGAATAACACAAATTCTAATACAGCCTCTTTTTACCAAGTTTGTTTTGCACAGTGCATGTTTTCGAATGTCATTTTCTCCACCACCTCACCATCTGTGCAAAAGTATTACTCTTCACTTACTGATAAATATGACCCAATAACAAGTAAACAAATAGCTCTAAAAAGCTATAAATCTTAGTGATATTTCTTCTGAGGTATTTGGCAACATGAACCAACATCTTGAGTGCACATAATTTGTTTTGAATTGTATGTAATGTCCCAACCAAATGTCAATTTATCAAATGTTGGGAGTTTACATTTACTTTACTACTATCCTACATGAGAATAATAAAATGATCATGCATGTGGCTAACCAGTAGAAATGTGCAATAAGAAAAATATTAACTCCTATCAAACTCAAGAGCATAAAACAATTACAACTGTATTAAATAAATAATATTATTGAGTACTGTAAATACTATTTGGAACCATAGAAGTAGTGGAAGAAGCAATAGGAGAAGCAGTAGAGTTTGTAGTAATAGAAGCAGTATAACAGTAGTAATAACAATAGTACTAATAGTAATAACAGTACAATAAACATTATTAGTAGTAGTCGATAGTAGAAACAGTAGGAGTATAGTAGCAAGAGGAGTATAAAAGCAGTAGCCTAAGAAGTAGCTGTAGCAGAAGTAGCAGTAGCAATAGTAGTAGTAGCAGTAGTGATAGTTATAAAATAGTAGTAGAAGTAGAAGTATTAGTCTTAGTAGTCAGTGTTAAAGCAGTACTGACCCCTCCCCGGTGAGGGCGCAGCAGGCCTGGATGTGCCACTGATGGTCTTTGACAGAGGTGAGCTGCAAACTCTGAGAGATCTCTGCCACAGACATACAGCCTTTAACGTCCTGTTTGTTTGCAAAGATCAGCAGACCCGCCTTCCTCAGGTCCTGCAAGAGAGACAATAGAATTATAACGGGAGAATAGTACTTGAATCAACATATTACGCTGGCATAACACTGATAATGACAAGTTCTGTAAAAAATGTTGACATGTTGATAATGAGGCAATTTGTGTGCACCTTTAAAACTGTTGGTTTAAAAAAAAATTTAAAAACATAAAAGGAATTTGGATTTTTCTAAATAAAGAAAGACACTTGAGTTGCCATTATACTCACTTCATGTGCAAGCATTCTGTAGAGTTCCTCTTTGGTTACTGAGATGCGTTCTCTGTCTGTGCTGTCTACCACCACTATTACAAACTACAAAAGACAAACACAAATAAAATCATTCTCTACTCACACTAGAGGTCGTGTACCTCTCTACAAGTCTCCACCACAAAATTGCTCCATTTGAGGCACATACAAGCACAGACACAATATTGCACAGACATCATATTTTCTTAATAAAGAGTGATACTGCAATGATTTATCAGTTAATCTCTGACTCAGCTACTGAAATAATTGTTAGTTGCAGCTCTAATAAAGAGTTCACACTAATAATCCAGTCCACCTTGCTTGACACAGACCACAGACTGTATATAAATGGACATCGCTAATAGGAAGTGCGCATGGGTGTACTTCCGTCTCCAATTCACTTTGTATTGAGAAAACATCGCCCCTTTCTGCACAACTGCTGCTGTCAGGCTCATCATTTTGGTCTTTTTTGATTACTACATGATCCTGGTGTTATTACTTTGCTATTTTGTCTGTAAATCAATTTCTATTTCTAACATGAAACTGACTTCAAATGAGGACCTAGCTGCTAGCCTCGGTGAGCTTCATTTCACTAGAGCTGAACACTATGGGCGACGTCACACTGCCTTAGTCCACTTCTTTATACAGTCTATGACACAAACTCAAAGTGCAGTGTATTTATTTCATCTATTTAATTTTGAAACATCACTAAAGTGTGTTGCCACTGTGTATCAGCTATAAAGCACTGGAATAGACTGATAGTGCACGGGGCATCATTTCTAAATGTATCATACCTCTGTGTTAGTGTAGTAGGTGTTCCAAGACGACCGGAGCGACTCCTGCCCCCCGATGTCCCACATGAGGAAGTGCGTGTTGTTCACCACAATCTCCTCCACGTTACTGCCGATGGTTGGGGATGTGTGCACCACCTCATTCATAGAACTGAGGAAATATAAAGTGTACATTCAAATTCTTACTCAGGGTTTTAAAACAAATTTTGATGTCTAAACTTAGTTTAGTTTAGTAGCTAAATAGCTTATGCAGTCTCTGATTTGCAGGAATAGTCAGGATAATTCCTGTAGTATAACTTGCATGAATATAAAATACATTTAATAATAGATGGCCTAAATAAGATGGTTTACTGAAACATGCAAATGAAACAAAATGCAATTCCTGGTCAAATGAGTACTGCCCAAAATCATCGTATAACTTGTACTGACAAATGATGTTCCTAATTCATATTAGTAGGGATGCACCGATACTGTTATTGAATATCGGTGCCCATAATGAAAAATTAGCTGGATCGAGTATTGAGCCGATATCCTGGTTTGACTTTAACTGGATGTAAATGTTGTAATGTTGGAACTTTTATTCATGCAAAGCTGTTCAGTAGTTACTTGAAGAATAAACAACACAATTGGACCTTCTGTGTAATTAAGTTAATGAGGTTTTATGGAAATAAGTGCCATTTTCCAACCCTACCCTGGTATAGCTTAAAGGTGTATTGTGTAACTTTTCTGGTAGGGGATCCGTCAACCGCTTTTCTTCGTGGAGATATTATTGCTTTGTCTGAAATGTTTAACAGTATGGCATTAAACCTTTCTATCATAACGGAGACCAAACCAGACTAAGTTACAGGTCAGATCTGTGGAGAGGCAACAAAGCTCACAGCCTGTTTTTTCTACATATTTTTTAGCTATAAAAAAGCCTGTAACTGAATAAATGTTAGGGTAGAGCTGTTTAATGTCATACTGTGGAACATTCCTGGCAGAGCAAAGACATATTCAAAGAAGCAAGCAGGTGATGGACCCCCAACCGAAAAGTTATATAGTGCATCTTTAATATCACGTATCAGCACATCCTAACAGTGCTGGATCAGTACATCCCTACATATTATCACAATACTGGCTGACACAATAATAAACATCACAAGAAAATAAATATATTACATTCATACAAGGTTTTAGATTTTACAGAAGTATACTGTATATGTCAAGTAAAATGGACAAAAAAGGCAGATTTTCCTTAATACTTCCTACATTTAAAAGACCTTAATATGCCAAAAAGTTAATTAAAATCTTGCATTAGTATCATCATAATACAAAATATAGTTATTGAATATCACATCTTTTTCTCGTGTTGCTAGTCCATATACTTACAACTGATAGAGGATAGTGGTCTTGCCAGCGTTGTCCAGTCCCACAATAATGACTTTGTGCTCTGTAAGACAATAGAGAAACAAAGAACGCAGAATTAGCACAACCATCCATCAATTAAACTGCAGTAAGAGACAGGGAGCCAATGATTGATGAGTTTAGTTCAAAGACAGGAAGAGAAGTGGGATTTTTTTAACACTGTTTACTATTGTACTGGAAAGGCCCATTCTTTAGCTCCTGACTACAGCAGGCTTCGTTAACCAGGAATAGAGAGAGCAATTTGGTTGTTACCATGGTGTCACTACACTAAAACTTCAAATTCGATGTCAATACTAAAGAATAGACTCCAAAATCAAAACCGATTTTTATACCAAAATGATCATGATTAAGACAATTTTGTAATTTTCAACACAAAATAGTATATGCTTCTTACCACATGGACTTACACTATTTCTGATAAAACTCAAGATGAAACTGTTGATGAAAGATCAAATTTTATTATATTTTTTTTAGTAACAATACCTATAGAAAACCCTATTTTATACCAAATGATTTAGTTAGTTGCGTTATATTTTTAAGGCAAAACTGAAATATTATAAATGCCACAAAAACACTGACTTTGTTGAAATCAAACACATTTGTGAAGTTGTAAAGTGGCAAGAAAACAAGCATGAGGTAATAAGAAATTTGGACAACAACACTGGACACGGTTATTTAGTGACCATGCACTTAAAATTTTACACTTCTCTCCAAAAGAAAATTTACTAACAAGGACCACGCCACAACAATGGAATACGGAACACTCCTTTGTGGATGATGACTTCAGGCTGAAGGATGAATGAGACGGAAGGTGGGAGGAAGGGGGTCGAGAAAGCGGAGACAGACGGTGTTGTCGGGATAGGCCTGTATAAATAGGGCTTCTGGGTAACTGAAGATGTGGTTGAGCTGAGCTGTGTTTCGCTGGAGAGGAGCAGGGGGAGGCTGAGGCGTGGTCCTGCTCCTGAATCTCAGTCAATCATATTAACTTCACTTATTGTTAATCAGTCTCTATTATAATGTTGGAGCTGTGCTTTGTTACATTCTCACACATATTTAACACACCAACACTGTATATTCAGGCTGAGTTCTCCTCACAAACTGAAAACACTCTGTTCGACCTTACTATGTAATGTGTAATACATGAAGTGCTCCACTGTGTTTTGAAACTTCATACGACTTCACTAGAATCATTAGGATGATTTGAGCCCTGGAACTGACAATCTCTACTGAACTAAAGGTTAAAGGTAGCTCTATCAACTGACAACAACACAAGGTGAACCAGAGCATTTTGAGCTTTGGAGATGTAGAAAGCCTACTAATAAAGGGTGACTCAAACATGTGTGAATGAAAAAACATTTTAAAACAAGATTTCCCAATCCTGTATTCAGTTGACCTCAATCAGGGTCATGTATTGTCTGTACCTCACATGACTCAAGGCGAGTCACTCACCACCACTATATCACTATTCGATCACATGACTAAGATGACTAAGTGAATGACAGCAATCTCCACACACTGAACTCTCTGAAGTCTGTAAAATGTGCATGGGAGAAATTTCAACATTGGAAATTAAACCGTTTTAACAAAATTACAACTAAAAATAAAATTATACTGTATATTGATTGTGAAATTATTATGTGGCAAAGTGAAACTAAAGAGGTTTAACTGTAATATTTGACGCTGTTTTAGTAATGTCAGTTAACATCTGAAACCATACCATGACTGCAATTTAAAATGTAAATATTTACATCTGTCTAAATGTTCATTAATACGCACTGTTCCCCATTTCCTAAATAAATACATTAATAGTATCTAGTTTCATTACTAGTCTTAGTAGTGATTACTATCTGGCTTTAGGCTTTTTTAATGAGAAATCTTAATAACATTCCTAGAACTGCCAAGCCTCCCTGCTTTTGTTTACTAAATATCTGTAAAGTCTAAGTGAGAGTGTACGAGCAGAGAGGAGGAGTTTTGAGCATAAACTCCAAAGAAGGTTACAGCTGTGTGACCCCAACTACAATGAAAAGGTTATGGTTAAGTTTATGCAGGTGTGGGTGATAATGACAACAATGAACGTCTCCATTTTATTTAATTCATTTGATGTATTTATTTAAATGAATACATTAATTAAATAAAGAAATTATCTATGTATTTATTTATCCTGATTATCATTATCATTATATCAGTTTGAAAACTCATTCAGAACATAAATTTTTTTTTTTTTGGTTCCCCCATTTTTAAGTGTGGGTATTTTTGTAACATTTCTTTTTATAATGTACTTGATTTTGTTTTGTTTTTTTGCAAATTTTCAAGACAACACTTCATATCACTTAGTCATCATTTAGCCTACGTTTTTACTGATAGTTTGCCAAGTAATATGTATGTTTTTAATGTAATCAAATCTAAAGCACATATATAGACCATAGCACGTGTCAGTGGAAACTACAGGGTTATTTTAGAGGCTTATACTGGCAGGAAACTACTGACAAAATAGACTGTACAGTCTGACAGACACAATACCAAGAAGCAATAAGGAACTGAAAGTACAGCAAAAATATGCCAAACAGGTACCAATGCCAACTACTGTAAAGCACTCCCTTTCACTTTTACTGCATAAGCTTATTTAGTTACTGTGGTTAAAAAAAATAGCTTAATTCAATACAACCATCATGTGACATCAGAATTTCAATAGATTTTAATCACCACTAATAATCACCTGTCATGATAATTACTATGTAGAGATGGAACAATAGATTCTGGGGCTCAGTATTTATTTCTCTGCAAAAATTGGGAGATTTGGGGTATTTTAGTTGTGATACAACAAGATTTGTGCTGTAGAGGATTGAAAAAGTAACTTTTATGGTTAAATATTGCTTCAATTTGTTATTTATTTGCTGTGCATGACTTTTAATGATATTGTCTATTTAGAATGGTTTGCTCTGGGATTATCTTTCATTATCGTTTTTGTGTCAGGGGCGTAAAGTAGTTTTATATTACCGTTTATCACAATATACACTGGACTGTTTAACATCTCATAACTGGATTAGATTAATGTGTCTAGGCTCCTGTCTCAAATCTTTTTTTTTTCCCTTCTGAAAGTCAGCGCCTTTCACATACATATGTCACAAAGACGCTTTACAGAGCATTTTATAGATTCATTATTCTTTTTCTCCACACCCGGTGGTGGTAAGCTACTATTGTAGCCACAGCTGCCCTGGGGCATACTGACGGAAGCGCGGCTGCCATGCCAATCGGCGCCATCGATCCCTCCGACCACCAGCATCACTCACGCACACACCACTTTCATACTAGGCAATGTGGGTGAAGTGTCTTGCCTAAAGACACAATGACAGTTTTTGCGACTGGCGCCCCACTGTGGCACCTGATTTTCCCAGTTTTCTCCCATCCAAGTACTAACCAGGCCCGGCCTTGCTTAGCTGGGTAATCATATTACATGTGAATGATTGACAGGAGTAATGATTAAAAGTATTTGAAGAAGTTGTAGGACTAGAAGTAATTAGGATTGTGCTCAAAGTATTGACACAGGAATAAACATGATAAACTTTGTTAAATCTTTATACATTTGGCTGGCTACTGTGACACTCGTGCAGATCATTATGTTATATTTTGCAAATTTAAAAAAGTATTGCAATATTGACCTAAACTGACTTATTAAAAGAAAAAAGTCAATTGACGTCTGGGCTGGAAAATAGTGGAAATGATTCCTGCCAACCTCTTTAAGGTTTATGGCAAGAGCAGTGGCCATATACGAGCGGGAGTGAAAACACAGGTAGATCTGAGCTATAAAGATGACTCAAACTTGCATGAATCATTCTACTACTACATTCTACTGGTGGGTACAGGTGAGGGGAAAACATCTAGAATATAGTTAAAAGCTCTAAAAAGTTGATTTTGCTTTAAGCCTTAAGTTACTGAACTGAAAAAGTATCCCTATTCACAAATGTACTGCTACCCAGCCCTAGTGATAGAAGTAGTAGAAGTTGTGTTGTAGTAATGGTCCATTTCTTAGTAGTAGCATACCTCCGGAAGAATATAGGCCTATCGCAGTGGCAATTAATAGGGGTCCACAGAAAGAAAGAATAAAACAGTAGTAGTAGTAGTGGTAGTAGTAGTGGTAGTAGTGGTAGTAGTAGTAGTAGTAGTAGTAGTAGTAGTAGTAGTAGTAGTAGTAGTAGTAGTAGTAGTAGTAGTAATAGAATAGTAGAATTAGCTGTTGCAGTAGTTGTAGCAGCAACATTATTTAGTAGCAGTAGCAGCTGCAGCATTAGTAGCAATAGTACCAGTAGTAGTAGGATTAGCTGTAGCAGTAGCAGCAGCATTAGTAGTAATAGTAGAAGTTACAGTAGTTGTAGTAGTAGTAGCAGTAGAATAGGCTCCCAAGGTTAAAAGGTTTGATATCTCTAATGACATCTGAAATGGATGGGGGTGGGTCATGTGTAAGTGCTTGAATAAACAGGTCAAAACAGCAGACTGACATCTTCTAAACACCCAACATAAACAATGCACCGATTATATTCATATTCCAGATGGCCTTATATCTGTGTCGTCCACGTAGGTTCCATTGTTGTCCGTGGGCGTACACCATAAACTGTATATATAAATGGACATAGCTAACATGCTAGCCGCTGTGTTCAAAATAGGAGGTTTGCATGCAGGTACTTTTGGTTCCTACTGACCCTAGGTCGCACTGACTTACATTGAAATATTGTGGCCCCTCCTCTGTAACTGCTGTTGTGAGCCTTGTCATTTTGGTCTTAAAATTGTCGTATTAACCTGCTCTACCTGATCCTGGTGTTTTGTTTTTTGTTTTAACTGCTGGCATCGCAAGCTTCATTTGAGTGTGGGTGACAGCACACTTGCTTAGTCCACTTCTTTATACAGTCTATGGTGTATACTAGTCTACGTGCTCATATACTTGGTCTGATACAGGTCAAGATCATTCTAAAGCTACTCAGGAAATGTTCATTTCTGTCTTGTGAATGTCACTTTTTTTTAGTAATTTTTACTTGTTCAAATGAGTATCTAGATCAATAGATAGATAGATAGATAGATAGATAGATAGATAGATCATCATACTACATTATCCCGAAAGAAATACATTTTTTAAATCATTTTCATTCATTTTTTTGATTAATATCTGATTTTCAATACTTTCACACAATTTGATAATGTCTAATATGAAGTAACTTAAGATATTCAATATTATATTTTTAAATTTACTATACAACTATTCTACTTACTTACTCAAAATGAAAAAGCTAGAAATACTGCATAAATGTTGTGTAATATCATTATTAAAAGGCTCTATATTATGCAAAATAGACTCTGTGCTTTTAGCCAAGTTATAATGCTTTTACCTCCTCAAAAACATTGCATTCACATGTTTGAGTAACCCTTTATTATTAGTCTGTCTACATCTCCAAAGTTGAAAATGTTCTGTTTCACCTTGTGATGTCATGCAGTGCTAGTTTTCAAATTAACAGCTTTTATCTTTTGTCCAAATAGTGTATGTGCTCCACTGAGCAAACTATAGACTATGTAAAAAAAAAGAAAAGTGGACTAAGTGAGTGTGACATCACCCATAACATTCAGCGTCACTAAAATCAAGCTTGTGATGCTAACAGCTACAGCAACGAATTTGGAGAGAGGTTCTATAGTATGAATAGGATTTTTTTGATGGACAAACACCTAGGATCATGTAGAGTGGATTAATACGAACATTTTAAGGCCAAAATGACGAGGCTCACAGCAGCAGTTACATTAGAATATTGTCTCCCCTCTCACTGTAAGTCAGTGGGAGCCAGGATGAGAAGGAGCCGGAAGAGTCTGCATGCAAACGTCCGGTTTGGAATGTGGCCGCTAGTGCGTTAACTATGTCCATTTATATATGCAGATTAAGTTGTAACTTCTTCAAGAAGTGTTCAGGGACTTCTTGTATTACAACATGACATCACAAGGTTTACTGTTTGAGAGAAGAACTCAGCCTAAATATGCAGAGTTTGTGTGTTAAAAGTGTGAATGAAACAAAACACAATTCCAGGTATGTTTTTGTTGAGGAAACAACATTACAACATAGGTCAGAAAATAGTGTAATATTGGCCCTTTAAACCTGGTACAGTGATAGCCTGTTCAGGCCCAGAAGTGTGAAAGCACCCATCAATGGTCTGAATGATTATGCTAATATGACTCAGAGACAGGCCCCACTTAGTGCAGTTCAACAGACCTAGCTAACAAATAGAAACTGTAAATAAGTTGGTGTGTTAGTTTCAGAGTAGTTTCAGTGTAGTTAGTTAGTTCCTCCGTTCAGGCAGATATAAGGCAGTGTCCACCAGCGTCTGACCAGAACTGAAGAAAAGAGCTTGGATGAGTCGTGAAAGGTATTTGATTAAAAAAAAAAAACTTCATCCAGTTGACAGACTTGAATTTCTCCTTTTCTATGCTTTAGTATTCCTTTCCCTAGTGCATTCAGCCATAGAATTGTGGTTACCTGTATTACCTTAACCAGATTGTACAAGAAAGCATTCTGTGTGACTCATCATTGAAATGTGGACTGTACTTTGAAACTTGCCATTTGTTTGATGGCAAACCTCACAAGGAGCTGTACTGATTACTGCACTGTAGTGATTAGGTTTGTGTTGTAAAATTGTGCTCATTGTTAGCAACTCCAGAAGCATTAACATTGGAGAGAAGGCTAACATGAATGCTAATAAAAGAATAACATTTATAAAACATGGTTTTTAGAGGTCTAAACAACAGGTACAATAAGATTTTTTATATAAAGACAGAGGACTTTCTGTTATGTAAATACTTGCCAACCTTTATGATTTGAGAATGGTGCCAATACAAAATGCAATTTTGATCCGGTCCAATCCAATGATGTATTGTGCAGCTGCAGTATAGTAGTAATAGCAGTAGTGACTTCAAGTGTCTGTGCACATTGATAACAAAGGCATTACTCAGCGACTGGGGACTGACTCATTGTGGACACCCTGAAGTACTTTACTTTCTGCTGATGTGGCTTCACCTTATTACACAAACTACTGCACTCTACACTATTACTATGACTACTGCTAAATACTACTACTACTATTTCTTGGCCTCAACTTATTACACAAACTACTGCACTAATTTCTACTACTATGAATACAACTAAACAGTACCGCTAGTATAACTACTATTAATATTATAATTACTAATGCTATTATAACTGCTGATGATATTATTACTATTACAAATACTAATACTACATTAGGGCTCAGTAATGACAAAAAATGAATCACTATATATGCATTTTTTACCTCATATTGATCAACCACTTTTTGTCTAATTCAAAGCAAATAAATGTATTTAAATATTAATTTCCCAAAGGCAAAAAATACTTAATAAAACATGTAATTTAACACAAAAAATGTCTAAAAAGTGTCGTCTTTTTTTTTTCCAGTAAATTTGTTCAAAGTCTAAACTCCAAATGACATGCTTTTACTAACAGAGTATTGGTTGTAGACATCTTAATTGAGAAGACCAAACTGATCATTGATGATGAGAAATTACTTCACCTCTTATTGATAAAAATTCTATTGATACCATTGCCTTAATTGTCATTTATTACACAAGTGCAATTTAAAAGAGAGCTCTTATTTAGGTAACAGAATATATTGCTCAAGCAAAAACAAAAAACATATCCAGTCTCCAATCAAACCTGTTAACCCTGTAGATTAGACCTCTACAAGCACGTTGTAACATGCATGTGACAGCTGTATTAGGTTAGCAGTTCATACAAAAGCTTTCTCTAAAATGTCAATGCTGTTGGACTAAAATGTGAACTGTGAACTGAATCCTTTTGGTAAAAATGGTCAAATCTATATTACAATATTTATTATAAAGCTTGCATATATTGTCCAGTATCACCTTATTAGGGCTGCAGGTAGTAGGTAATTATTGGTCGACTACAGGCTGCTGATGGATTACTTGACCAGAAAGGGGTTGTGGCAAAAGCTCTTAAAACTATTGCTCTCTCTATATATCTGACCCACACTTCACTCACAAGACTACACCTGCACTGAAGTACACGAAAAAACAACAAACAAATTTTATAGGACAAAGTACTAGGAAACAATGCAAAAAGACAGATTAAACTTGTGAATCTGCCCTTTTACATACAAATACCAAATCTTCAGCTAACTCACTTTCTTCTCTTTTCTGCCATTGTCCATACAAATCATTTTAATGTAAATAAAATGATTAGTCAGCAGTACAAATGTTCATTGACTAAGACACCATTAACCAATTACTCGACTCAACAACTACAGGCAATCCTTCACCTTACTACAGAGTTCAGGGTATAGAAAACAGAGAAAGAGGAACAGCGTCTCCCGTTACCAAAAGGTTTTCTTTTCACAAGACCAGTATCAGCTGAAGCCTTGGAGTATAAATAATACAAAAGGGAACAGTATTCTTACATAATATTACTGTGACATATGGTGGTAAATCTGTCTAAGCAATAACTACTGTCATACTCGCCATACAACATACTATTACAGCACATGTATTTTGGAGAAAGAGTATTTAAGTATTTCTAAATTTGTTGTTAGGATTGTCATGATAACAAATTTTGAAGAGCAATATAGCTGAAGAAAATATAGACAATAACCGATAATACTAAAACTAAAGTAGAATTATCTCCCAAAAAGTATTCTTAATGTACAATATAGTGAAAAAAAAAACAAAAAAACATAAGGTATAGCTAAAAAATAATCGGTCAGATCTCATTTTAGAACAGAAAAATAACTAACCTAATACTTACACCTATATTTACACTATACACTCTAGTCTGTGCCTAGTACAAACAAAAAGTACCCATTGTAAATATTGACCCCCAAAAATAACAGTTTCATCTGCTATGTTTTGACAATAAGTCAATATAGTATTTATTATGACGTGTGTTGTCCATCATAATAACTTAAATGCAGACTATCACATTACTGTTGTCAAGTAAAAACTAGTCCTTTAGAATCAATACTAAACTAATAGAAATAATGTGTAATAACAACTACCCTGTATTATATAATGTGTTACAACTTGAACTGTTAGTAATAGCAGCAAGCTATTTACCCAAAATGAGACAGGTCTTGATTAGAAACTGTTAAACATACCATTAATAGACTATTTTATTAATTAAATATGGTTGCTGTATCATGTATCAATGTCCCAATCTAATGCGTGATTATATTTACAAGATTATAATTACACAACTCCCTTAATGTTTTTGTGTAGCATGTATTTTTGTTAATATTTTAAGAAGTACAAAAATACTGAAGTAGTAGTTATTATTAAAAATGTTCTTGTCTTGTTTTAAAACCTGTTGCACGTATGTTTTAATATTAGATCCTACAATTCTAACTATTCAAAATAACAAGCTGCTAATAAGACAAATTGTTTCGTAAATTAATCATATTAGAATTTAAAGCTAGTAAAATAACGAAAGCGAGACGTAAGAAAATGTAAATTGTAGTTTAAGGGGGAAAGAGGCTATATTCGTATTATAATTTCACAAATTATCCAAAAGCTCTGTATTTTACATGGGGCCTTACGAACGAACCATCGTGCGCATTGACACCCCTATTTCCAAGAATTTTATGAACAAAATCCTTCCAATTATTCTTACCTTGATGATTAAAAAGCCTCCATAGCTTCGTAAACAGTATCCCCATGGTTGACGGTGTCCAAATGCCGATGCCAGTTTGAGAAAATCTGATTGGAACTAAACAATGCTATCAACTTTAGCTAGCCTCCAAGCTAACTAGTCATAAATATAGAGTTTTACCTACAAAGGACATATTCGCTGGTCTGAAACGCAATCTAGGTATAAAGTAAAAAGGCTAGATTAAAAGTCTGAAGGATCGATGCTGTTACGGTGATGAAAAACGAAAATGTAAGTAGAAAATGGTAGGTAGGTGCAGGCTGGAGTGAAGTCATGAAGGCAGCTTCGCTAGTTAGCTGTCAAACTCGCGCATGCGCAGAGTGGAATTGGCGTTAGATTAATGGTTCAACGTCCAAAGGGGTGAGGGTTCAGCATTTTTATGACCTGACCCTAAGAAAAAGTCTAAATAATAAAACGTATATATATATGGCCGGTTTTGGGAACGTAAAACTTTATTTTGTCAAAACATTCTAAAATAACCATTGTAAAATAACTGCAATAATAGCAAAAGTGGAGGTCACAGATTAAGTAATAACATCATGTAATTAGATGGGGTTTTATTTGTTTGTTTGTTTGTTTGTTTGTTTGTTTGTTTGTTTGTTTGTTTTTTGTAGTTTTAGTTGTGGTAGTAGTAGCAGTAGTAGTAGTAATAGTAGCAGGCTGGTAATGGGCAGACCCCTACCCCTAGATCATTACACCAGAATGGTTGTGGACTTTATATGGTGACGGCAAAATTGACATATCATCATACGATAAGTTTTCAGATAATTCTATAATAATAATCTTTCACCATTCAAAATGTTTTAGATCATTCTGAAACCAGTATAGTTGAATGACGCGTCCTTTCAGTATACCCTTAATCTCTAAGGGCAAGGCAATTTAACAAATATTGTGTGTTGTAGTTCTGTCAAGTATTGCAAATAGCCTAAAGCTCCTACTAGACTATTTGGTGTTCCGTGTGAATACTACTGCCTGTGGCAATATATTGATGTTATGCAGCTGTTGTCATCAACATTCCTTGGGGATGTGATGCTAACTCTAAGCACTGCTCTATCTGAGGCTTGTTGGACTTTCATCTGAGCTATCTTAAAACTTTTTGACAGTGTGTGCCAATGTGAACATGCAGAACACTCCAAGCGTGATGTCACTGCAAGATATCAATTGAACAGACCTCTGAAAAGTGCATATACCTGTCATTGTGTCCTTGGGCAAGACACATCACCCTCTTTGGCTATTAAGAATGAATGTGGTGTGGGTAAATCACTGGTCCTATTCCATAAGCTTGGGCTAAACCAAATAAAGCAGGTGGTTTGTTAGTGGTTGGAGAAGGTTTTTGCAGATTGGCAGTGGCTTAACATGTAAAAATATGCAGAGTGAATGATGCAGTGTAGAACGCCTTTGCATGTAAAAAGGGCTATAGAAATCAAAATACAGTAATCATATTTATAAATGAAAAATTATATACTTTAGGTACTCCACAAAGAATACTATGTTCATGTATTGAAAGTAGAAGTGGAAGATATATTGAAAAAATAGATTTAATACGTAGGCCTGTCACGATAATGACAATGACAATGAAATCTATTTTAGATGGAACAATAGTTTTTGGTTTCAGTTTTTATTATGGGTAATTTTTCTTTGTACTGGTGGGAAAATTCTGGTTATTTTCTGGTTATTAGAGCTGTAGAAGGTTGAATTATGAACTTCTATGACTCATTTTACAAATGAATTACTTAAAGGGCCCAAATTACACTGCTGTTTCCTCATCACAAACCTGGAGTTGTTGTTTTGTGGTAAGACAGGAAATGTTTCAATGTGTTTTTAAACCACACCTTCACTGGAATCTGGATAATTTCAACATGTAATTGTCCATCTCTAGTGAACAAAAGGTAAAAGGTAGCTGTTAATTTGAAAACTACAGCTTCATGACAACACAAGGTGAAACGGGGGATTTTGAGCTTTGGAAACGCAGACAGCCTTATAATGCAGGGTTACTCAAACTCCACGTGTTTTTGAGGAGGTAACAACATTATAACATGACTTCAAGATCACAAGAGTCAATTTTGTGTAATATTGAACCTGGCATTCTGCTTCTTATGTATTGCAGCTAATATAATTTTCAAATAATGGTTGCTATTTCTGGTATTTTCTGTATTTTCTTTTTTCAGTCCATTCACATTTGTGCAATATTTGAATGTTAGCTAAAGTTAGTTAAAATATATAGACACATTTTACCTTATTTCTATTGACGATATATCAACGTTAGGATAATAAACAACATGCATTTTTAACAGTACTGCCCAACCAGTAGGCCCATATGAAAGAAATAGCACCTCTATTGTAGCATAAGGGCAGTTTATTTCATTGTTTTTGTAAAAGGCATGGCACACAAACCAATAATCAGTGCATCATTCTCTCACAGGCAGTTTCAGATCCAGTGGTTTCTTCTTATGCTCCAAAGTTCAAAACATCAACAAGAAAAGCTACTGTTTAAGATGCCGGATAGTGTAACAGAAGTCTATTGTCCGTTTGTAAAGAGTCTCTGGCATTTTAAATTACAAGTTATATGGATATGGCAGTAAAACATAATGGTATATTTATATTTCTGTAACAGCTGGCAGCATACAAGTAAATTCATATATTAATAAAAATTAAAACTGGTCATTTTTTTCAGTGACATAAAGATTCAGCATATCCCTGGCCATTTTACTTTTACAGGTAACAACAAAATCAATGTAGGATATGGTTAAAGCTCCACTATGTAACTTTTCTAATGGAGAGTCTGGCACCTGCTTGCCTGTATTCCGACTTGATTGGTTTAACTGGAATGTTCTACAGAATGGCATTAAAAGTATCTATCTCTATGGAGGCAAATAGTGGCACCACCAGGCCAAGTTACGGGTCAGGAGAGGCCCGCTCACTATCGGAATGCATGTTTTTCAAGGAAATTTTGAGCAACAAAAATACCCGTAATTGAATAAATTCAAGATGGATAAGTTTAACGCCATACAGTGGACCATTGCAGGCAAAGATTAACATCACCATGGAGACAAGCAAGTAGTGGAATCCCTACAAGAAAAGTTACACACAGCATCATTAAGAAAAAAGAGAAAAAATAGAATGTCAATATATTTCTGTAATCTAAATAATTTATTTTCTGTGTGTTTGTATAATTGAAGATAGAAATGACTAGACACCAGTTTTAGCAGTATCTAAGATGAGCTAAAAATGCTGTAAAATCTCTTTGCAAGGTGTAAACCAATTCAGTAGTAGTAGGACAGTAGTAGGTGGTAGTATACTCTGTACAAACTAAAGCAAAATTAGAGGGATAAGGACATTTAGTTGTCACATTTAAGTCTGTCACAACATTCAAAGTAGTAACAGAAGTAGTAGTAGCAGCATAGTAGTAGTCATAGTAGTAGTAGGAAAGTACTGTAAAACTGGTATTTAGACAATATACTATCCATATGACCCACATTACAGCAGTATTTATGAAAAGAGAAAAATGAAGGACAACTATTTATAATTTAACTTGAAAATAAATCCATCTTAATATTAAGTGCATCGATGCTACATCTCCATGAGCGCCCTTTCCTGAGGAGTACAGCTTTAGAATGTGTTTCGGTGTCAGTTTGCATTCTGAAATATTGATTTACTGTTAGCCTGGCCAGCCACACCAACTGCTCTTCTAATCAATATAATGAATTTGCCTTCCATGTTTGAGGATTAAATTGTTAAAGGTGCACTGTGTAACTTTTCTTCTACAGGGTTTGCCACAGGTGTCCCTGGACAAGTTATTTCTTTGCCTGAAATGTTCCACAGAACGGCATTAAGCAGCAAGCAGGTGATACTCCCAGGCCAAGTACAGATGCAGATGTATGAATAAATGTAAGATATACAAGTTAAATTACGTACTGCAGAACATTCCAGGCAAAGCAAATGCATCTCCTCGGAGGCAAGCAAATGGCACATCCTCCACCAGGAAAGTTACCTAGTGTACCTTTATATACAGGTCAGAACTGGGTAAGAAACACAGGATACTAAACATATTAGAGAAATATATCAAGTTCAACCCATTTTAAACTGAAAGAAAACCTCTGTATATGCACATGTAAGAAAATGTTTTATATTCTGATAATTCGTTTAGATTTATTTTAAAATATGATCTGGTTATGTTATCCTGACATCTCTGAAAATAATTAAGTGCAATTTTCTTATCCATAATAGCTGTCAAATAGTGATAATGCATTCAATTTACACTCATAGATAATATTTATTCACTCCATATGAAATAACAATATTAATTTAAAAAAATTTGTAAAAAACTCAAAATAAGAATCTAAATCATTTTAATTGCATAAAATTTTAAATAAAAAAAGAAGTGGTTTGAGAGATTATTTTTTAAGGCTGGGTATTGTTTTATTAATTTAAAATAAAGCACAATTTTAAAAACATGAGCTAAACAAAGTTGTAATAAAATCATTTTTGAAGATGTGTATGGCTGGCCAGGCTAGACTATCAAAATGGCATCATGATTGGGGCAGTAATTCACCATTCAAAATCAATGCAATTTTTCAGCGCAGGCATCGAGTGGATATTTTCACTCACATCGAAGACAAACAAACTCACGGAGCCTCTAAACTTTTTCCACAAGCTCCTGGTGCGTGCAAACTGGTTCTGAGTTGGTCTTTTTCATTGTTGCTGAGTACTTTGGCCATGGGCTTGCCAGTTCACCTGTTCATAGCCTTCCCTGCATGCTACAGTAACATCACACATGAATTTCGGCTTCAAAAAGCCTGTTTAAATCCCTTAGTGTATGCTCTTGTGCTACTCCTTCCATCAACATTGGTCATATACAACAAGAGCTATACATTTTGCAGGGAACGTGAAATCCTACACATGTTATATTGGTCCAGATAGGCGTAGAAACTTCACTATATTGTGGTCCTTAGCTTCCAATTTGACAAGACTTGTCTAGATTGAAGTGGTTCTAAGTTTAAACGCGGTGTCTTGCTTCTTGGCTGTACCCGCCCGGAGACTCCCTGTTGCGGTGGGGTTTATAGGAGTCCTGGTAGGGGTCCTGGAAGTCCTCCTCGACCAAAGGGGAGTGGTCCCGGCTGTGTTGGGACCCAGAGGAGAGGCGATTGCGGTTCTTGCGAGCACGTTCGTTGTGGTAGTTTTCATCTGCAGGCATTAGACTGCGACGCTCGACTGGAGAGTGGTCCGACGTTGTGTGGTTACTGTTGCGGTTTCTTTGGGCCTGGAGGAAAAAGACAAAAGGCTTTGAAATAGGAAATTAATTGAAATGGATTTAAACAGCACATTTTCAGAAGCCTGTGATCAATACGAGTGTTCATGGTCCCGTTTAGGTATTTGCTTCTCTTCAGAGAGACTAACTGAAAAACTGGTGGCTAATGCTTGCTAGCTTGTGACTGTAATGTTATTTGAGAGGGTCTTGTTTAACTGCACAGATCTGCTCACCTGTTTTAGCTCCAATTAAGTCAGTTCTTTCTGGTCAGATTGTTTTAAAATAAAATGATTAAAGTCTATCACAGGCCCAGAGCATCACACCACTAGAGAATATTGATAACATCAGCAGCAAAGTGTCAATTTATGTGTTCTTTATGATTAACAATCTTTATACATTGTCTAAAACAAGTCTAAAACTGAGTTTTTACCATTAAACTGTGTAACATTTCAGAGCAATATGTTAACTCAATACCATTGCACTGGCAACACTGAAATATTGTTGCACTAAAAGAAGTACTAGTAGATAGAGACATACGCATCCAATAAGTTTCCCAATTTATTTTAATAGCACATTTGATAATTTTTCTTTTTCGCATTAAAACAAGTCTCATCACATTTTAACTGAAAAGCTTCCCTTTGGATACAAAGTCTGGTTTAAAATTAGTATTTTATATAAGTTTAAAAAAAGTATAAGCAATAATGCATTAATGTATTGTGGGTTTTAAAACAGTTGTTTCTATATAGGATTATGGTATATATAGGCCTCAGTATTTTTAACAGTAGCAAAAAAAATAATGCTTTCTACCCTGGCAGTTTTGTAAAGGTTCTCAATAAGGGTACAATTGTAACAGTAGTGCCTTCATAAATAGCAAATATGTAGCATAAATAAACAAGAGGCGATTATGGTGTCAGTAGTTCATTCCCTCCTCTCTCCTGTATTTAACAGGTCTATAACTGCCCTGATCCTGGCATACTCACCTGGTTGGCAGCGGGATAGGGGGCGAGTGCGGTGGAGCCCAGGTTTCGTCCCAGCAGAGGGTTGAGGGGAGTGCTCAGAGACGTGTGTGTGGCTCTCCAATACGCCTCCAGGTACTCCGCCAGGTGTTCACACGCATCTTCCAATTGGTTCTCATCCAGGATTATATCAAACATCTCCTGAGAGCAGAAACGAAGGGAGGGAGGAAAGGGGAAACAATTGAGCCATTTGAATCCAAAATCCTGATTTACACAAAAAAAAAAAAAAAGAAAAAAAAAAAAGATCAACATTAAAGATCCTATATTAAAAATGTATATGGAATTATCTTAAAGTCATGTTATAATGTTGTTAAACTTGTTTGAATGAAACAAAACACAACTCCAGGAATATTTTTGATGAGGAAACAGCATTATAAGGTTTAAAAAAGTTCTAAAAAACTGCCTTTTAACTGCTTAGAATTAAAAGTAAACAGTTTTGAACTATGAGTGATGAACATGCTTCAGAATAATCTTAGCTCTGTTCACTTAGTCATCTCTAACTTTGATCTTGAACCATGACCATGACAAAGATACACTTATGGTGATAGTCATAAGAAGTCATAAGAAGAATTCACATGATTCTTATCTAACAATGTCTCTGCTTTGATCTGCTCCTTTATGGTTATCATCCAACAACATTACTTTAAAACTGTAAATTGCATACTTTAATTTGTGTGTCTTACTATAGATTTTACAACTTTGATATTGATACCTGCACAAGCACATATTGATTGTCAGCTACTATTAGTATCGGTTGAAGAGATCCATATGAGACCATCTCTAAGCAGAGATATTCACATTTACTCATTCACTCACAGAAGGACATTGTGAGAGTTTTTCAGCTGCAACGAGCTGCACATTCAGGTGTTTGCTCTGAGACTTTCCTCTGGATTTGATCAGACGTTGGAGCACCTGCAAGTGAACACAAAGGAGAGTTACCACCATAGACTGTATATATAAATGGACATAGATGACCTGCTTAAGCCTTCCAAATACAAAGCAAGCATGGGGGCGCTTCCAGCTCCATCGACCCTGGTTCCAATTCACTTTACATTAAAAAATTGGCACCGTCCCCTTGTAAGTGCTGCAGTGAGCCTTGTCATTCTGGTCTTAAAATGTATGTAGATAAGTTTAATACCATACAGTGGTTGTACTAAACTGCTCTACATAATCCTAGTGTTTTTATTTAGCTGTTTTGGCTGTAAATAAATTCTATTCCTAATATGGAACTCAGCTCCAAAGTCGGGCTATAACTGCCAGGCTTCATGAGCTTCATTTGACTGGAACTGAACGCAATGGGTGACAGCACACTCCCTTAGTCTACTTCTTTACACAGTCTATGGTTACAACAAGTATCATGTAAAACGGTATAACATTTTATAAAATGTAAAACACATTACATAGACATTACATACACTGATGTCAGGTATCGTGTGGAACAATTATCTGATTGAGCCAGCTTCATGGTCAGGAGTACCCAGTCTGAGAATAAGCCTACTATACATGTATCAACATGTTTAAAAGCTCTTAAAGTCAAGCATATGTCTGCTTTAATCCACAAATACAGCAGGACAAAGACTGGAACAAAACTTTTTTTTTTTTTTTTTTTTTTTTATTAAAATTTAAAAGGAAGAAATGAAAAATGAACTTGTAACCGAGTTGTCATCGTATGTTTTGTTCCAACATTTAAAAATTGAAAAAGTTTGGATCCTGATTATGTAGGACACAAGTTGGATTTGGGTTTGTACCTTGGGCGAGGAGACTTTGACGTGGACGATGATGGGAGCTAAAGAGGTCTTAATGAGCTGAGCCGGGTTGTTTATGGTGTCCGCGTCCAGAACAACGAGCTGCAGAGACCGGGCCAACTCAAAAATACGCTCTATCTCACTCTGCACCTCCGCTGAGAATTCATATGAAAGATTAAACAGGAAAGTTAGTGTTTGTTGAAAAGACAAGAATTGACGGTCAATAGGTTTACATGCAAGGATGTATTGCAAAAGGGACATAATACATTTGTGGTTCAATTTGTGTAATTGTACTTCCTTTAAAACTTTTTTTCCCTGTCAAGAGTTTATCTACCTCTCCTGTTTTAGGGATAAGAAGTATCATAAATTTACAAGTTTGTCTCTCTCCATCCATTCCTCTGACCGTCTGCTGACTCCTCCTTGAGCATAGATTCACTTCAAGACCGAGCAAATCAGTGTAATATAGGCGTATTGATACTTTGCAGTGATATGATGCTGGGGGTGTTCTGCATATACCTCTACTGGTGGAATGTTCAACAGATTCTATAATTAGCAATTAGCAATAACTTTCAAAAATGTTTTAATAACTCAAGAAAAATACGAAATGGATGTAAACAACACATTTCCAAAAGCCTGTGATCAATACAAGCATTCATGGTTCGTTTTAGGTGTTTAATTTTCAAAAAAGGTGGGAATGACTAACTGAAAAACTGTTAATGCTAATGCTACCTAGCTTGTAACTGTAATTTTATGTGTGAGAGATTTGTTTAAGTTCACAGATCATCTCATCTGTTGAAGTTCCAACTCAGTCAGCTCTTTCTGGTCAGAGTGTTGAAATAAAACTCTGGTTGAAGTTTAAGTTGAGCGACAATAGTGCTTTCAGTTAGTATCAGACCCCCAGAGAATGTTGATTACATCAGCTGCAAAATATCAAAAATTATGTCCTCATCATTTATCATCTGAAACTAAAACATCTTAATAATCAGTCTATAAAATGCCTCTTGCATGTAAACACAATGAGCGTACACTGAAGTTTGAAATCCATGCACATCATTGAGTATGCAGTGCTTTTACCCAGACTGGAGCGCGTGTTGGGTTTCTCAATCATGGCTCTCTTACTGGGGTTATTCAGTACTGACCTCTTGGCCAAAGAAATGTCAGCCGTTACCCTGGTGATGGATATCCTAAAAAAAAAATAAAAGAAACAATTGGTATTATGTCAAAGTATAAAGATATCACAATCAGGTAAAAAAATATATATTTAATTGAAAGTAAAATGTATGCATGTATAATGTATGTCCAATCTTCTGTGGTGTTCTATGAGAGGTGGTTTACAGTCATGCCTCACTATAACGCGGTTTACCTTTCGAAGCTTCACTGTTTCGCAGATTTTTTTGTGTGCAATTTGCATGCTTTTTTTTTTCTTCACAGCGTTCAAATGTGCATTGTGTTGCTCCCCCTGCGTCCTGATTGGCTAAGGGACTGCAGACACTGTATGTGTTCAGCTTGTCAAATTTACATAAATTTTCGATTGCGAGCAGTGTGATTGTGAAGTGCTGTATTTTTGCAAGTTTTCTCCCCGACAAAACCCACAATGTTGATGAAACCTTCTGCACCAACACCTGCGGTCACACCCAAAAGGCAGCCAAAGATCCTAACCATCACACAAAAAGTTTAACTTCCGTACATGCTGAAGGAAGGTAGAAGTTACGTGGCTGTAGTGCGCCATTATGGAAAAGTGTGTGGTCAGGGGTCTTGAAAACATATAAAAACATATATAATAATAGTAAAAAATAAAGCTGACTACTGCGGATTTTGCCTATTGCGGGTTATTTTTAGAACGTAACCCCCGCAATAAATGAGGGACCACTGTAGACCAGGTTCAGTCGTGGGTTAGACCTGGTTTAGACCTTATTTAGTCCTGGTTTAGGTCAACTGTTGAGTGCTCCCTGTCTGCAGTGGTATCTGTCTATCAGGTGTGCTTCAGACCTGGTTTAGTCCTGACTGAGTCCTAGTTGAGACTTGCTTTAGTTCTTATTGTGTGCTAGCTGAAACCAGGTTTAGTTCTGAGTAAAATCTGGCTTAATAGCTTACCTTCCATCGAACCTGTGCTTAAGGAAGTCAAAGAGTGCTTTCTGCATCATGTCTGTCACCTGCAAAATAAATAAGGCAAGATAAATGACAATTAACTATCTGGCAGCTAAACCAAGTAAGGATCTACAATATATACTAGTTTATAGATAAAATTAAATATGAGCTATGTAGTTTTTCTGTTGGTGGATCAGCCACTCGCTTGTCTCCATGGAGATGTTAGAGCTTGTAAAGTTATTGAGTATGGCATTAAATGTATTTATCCACGGAGACAAGCCTTTACCAGAAAAGCTACATAGCGCATCTTAAATCCAGGAGTGGTATGTCAAATGCCATACTATGAAACAATTTAGACAAAACAATAACATCAACCATCCATCACAAAAGCTGCATAGTTCACCTTTAAACCAATACATTTACAATACTTTAAGCTAGTGTGTACAATGTCATCCAGCCCTTCAAAATCATTTCTCTAAAACTACTGTAGTCCATCCACTTATCTCTAGTGTTGCCTATAACCAGGCTTTTCTATAGGGTTTTCTCATGAGCTGAAAAGAACATGATCAATGGTGGCCCACAATGAAAGAGCTGCACCAGTGGTCATGTGATTAATTAGACTAATCAAAAAAGTTGACTACAGATCAGTTTAAGAAATCAATATGGATGGACCCCAGTCAAGCAGAAGTATAAAGATTTATGGGGGAAACCTGCACTATAATGCCATTTAGAAGTAACATTTTCATATGGAAATTACTAAGTGATCAAATCTGAAACACTACTGCAATGTTAAAGTTTATCTGATAGGTTGGGTTTTGTTTACAGTATAGAGATTAGCAATGAGCAGTTACAAAGGTAATACAATGAAAGCAGCTTACTGTTACCAAGCATGGGGACTCACTGTACAGTATAAAGCAGTGAATTCAAGCCATTATTATTGCAATTACTAAAATTATTACAACTTTTTGCATTGTTTTTTTAAATTAATTGCGGACCCTTGTCGAACTTGTACTAGGGATTGGAAGAGCATTCCTATGAGAGGCTGAGAGGCTCAGTGAGAGAATATAGAAGTAATTTAAATAGTCGGGTTTAGACCTGTTTAGTCTGTTTAGTATTTGTTCTAGTCCTGGTTTAGTGCAACAATATTGCATCAGTCAAACTAATATATGATATCAACCTTTATCTCAGGACATGTTCATGATATTTTATATGTATTTAAAGCCACAGTATGTAACATTTTAGCTTGTTTTTTTAACCATAAAATAAAATTGACTGTCCTGAAAAACAAGCATCCTTACTGTGAGCAGGCTTGCATTGCCACAAACTTGTCTCTTATTTAGCCTAGACGAGGGCGTGTTTTTATGGATTTGCTGTTCTCTTGGTTATAATATTCCACAATATGGCATAAAACTTAACTATCTCCATGGAGAATGTTTGTAAGTATGCTTTCTATTTCCACTGAACCATGCAGGTGACATCCAACTTTCAAAAAGTTACATAATCTACCTTAAAGATAAGTCTTATATTTACTGAACTGAAGTTCAGTAGGTGTTCAATAGGTGAAGTAATGTATTGAATATGTGCAATCATAATAAAGTGTAATCATAATAAAGTGTGTTGGACCTGTTTATTACTGAATTGCAACAACTCACTGTAATTTTGTATAAATCTTCTGTATGTAAAATGACAAATAAACCCCTGAAATGTGAAGTAACAATAGTTAGATCAAATCACTTTCCCCTTCAGTCATATGTACTAACAGTGACGGTGTTGACAGAGGCCTTGTGTCTCATGAGTAAAAACATGCTTCGTCTGTCACGTTAAAAAATAGTCCTATTTAAAACTGCTATTCCACCTGCTCCCAGGTCTGCACAAACCAATGTCATCACTTCTCTTCCTCACTCGGATACAGTGGATACAAAGGAAATGAGATCGCTAATAGAAAATCTGCCGTTTCTGCACTTTTTCCATCGCTGTGTGGAATTATACAGCCCTCTCATATTGATTCAGCGGTGAGGGAATCAATAAACAGGAGCGAATGTAACCAACGCCAGCTACAATAGGTCTACCTTTTCAATTTATCAACATAGAAAGTCATTTTAGTCTTGGAAAAAAAAAAAAAAAACACCGTCCTCCTGTTTCTAATTTAGAAACCTTGGTCTACTTTCTCTCTCTTTCTATTTCTTTTTACAAGGATGCAGTTTACCCACAAGGCAGTTACCATAGCAACGCCGGGATCGGGAGGCAATGTTTCCATAGCGACGGACCACATCCCCCGCCTCACTCCCTCCTCCCGTTCCTGTTCCATCCTCTAATATTGAGTCTATCATTGACTGTGTTTAAATGCAATTGAGTATCCCAGATATTTTAATGGTCCATTATGTAACTTTTCTGGTGGAGAGTCTGGCACCTTCTTGTCTCCATGGAGATGTCATTGCTTTGTCATGAATGTTCCACAGTATGCCATTAAACCCAACAACAAGTTACACGTCAGGTTTGTAGAGTGGTGACCCCTCTCACAGGAGGAATGCATGTTCTTAAAGCAATGAAAATATCTGTAATTAAGTAAACATAAGACAGATAAGTTTAATGCCATTCTGTGGAACATTTCTGGCAAAGCATAGGAGACATGAAGTTTTGATATCCCCAGTAGTGTGCCTTGGCCTGCCGTGGCTTAGAGGTTGAGCGCTGCCGGTTCAATCTCCTGCCGGTTCAGTCTCAGTTTTGATTCTTGCTTATAAAATAAACTAAATGTAAAATGTTAACCATCTATATCCCGTGTCTGGATGTACTCACACTTACACAAACAAACATAAAAATTGGGGCTAAACTGGGACTAAAGCCAGAATAGCACCAAAACAAATTTACATCAGGACTAAACTTATCTCAAACTAACAAGGACCAAACCAGGACAAGTGTGAAAGTTAAAGACCCTTGCACAATAACTGATTAAAACAAGATCTGCAGACATTACAGAGTCAGACCACTTGATTACTATCTACCACTACATTTACTGGGAGATCAATAAAAATCTATAGTCTATAAAAGTACTGATTGGGTATTGCATTACAAACCCAGTGCTTGTATTTAAAATAAACCTGAGCTACATAGGGTTAAATAGGAAATGCTACGTTACGTTGTTATTAAATATTAGTCATATATTCACTCAAAGACAGAAGTCAGCAGAGTACAGTAACAGTATGAGTCAGAGGATGCTTTAGCTCAAAATACCAGAACAGAATTGTACTATGAATTGAATGTGCATTGTCAGTCTAATTATAGCTCCAACTGATAACAAAATACAGTGATTTGTTCGTCACCTTCCTGTCTCAATGGAGATGTTGCTTTGCCTAAATGCTCCACAGTATGGCATCAAACTTATTTACTCTCTGCTCCACGGTAATAATACATGTTTATCAAGGTATGTTCTAGCAATAATAACAGGTGTACAATAATAAAAAGCAACTTGGCAACAATTTAAAATAAAAGTGCCTTTTTTAGATAGTTTGCATATCACTGTGTCCAGCTCACAAATCTGCACACATGCTTTATTGGGTTCATTCCAATCAAAAGTGTATCCATGTTTAAAAATAATGACTTGTGCTTATTAATGCCTTTACTAAGAAATCTTAATTTAAAGATTACAGATAACTTTAATTACATTGTGGAATATTTTTCAGGCAAAGAAAGTATATCCATGGAGACAAAAGATAGCAGACCCAGCACCAGGAAAGTTACATATTACACCTTTAAAGTAAACCCATCCAAATGCACAAAACTGAGCCAGTGTCAAAAACAGCTGTAGTTTTTTAAAGAATGAAATATATAATAAATAAACCTACTACTCCTCTACTGGTTAGCTTTTGACAGTACATAAAAATCAACCTAAACTCAAAAAATCTAAATCAAATTTTTTAGAAAAATTCTAATGACAGTTTAATTTTTTTCCCCAAATCGAGCAGACTTACCTCATAGCCTTTGAGAGAGGGTCCCACCAGCACCACTGGTCTCATGGAAGGAACCACGTCGTATGGAGGAATGTGCTCTGCCTATAGGGGGCGACAAACACATAAATAACTATATGTCAATCAATCAATTAACCTTATAATACCAACTATAATCAGAGGTACAGTAAATATGCCTAAAACTAAATTATACATTTCCCAGCTCGATATTTTTATTCAAGTAAACTGTGTTTGGGTAAATAACTTAATTATTTATCTTGTTTAATGTTATTGTAGTAAAGCAGATGTAAAATGAAACAATACTAAAAGTGCAAATTTGTGTCTTACAAAAGAAGAAAAATGCTACACAAAAGACCATTACCGTTCAAAAGTACAATGCAATCTATTATAATCAACAAGACAACATACATTTTTAACATATACAAAATTTACTTACCACTTTCTGCTTTTGCTTACCTGTAAAAGAGATTAAGTAATTAGACAAGCCTCCCAATTACTTACAATCATTGTTTTGATGTAGCTGTTAATAGAATGTGCAAATGTAGGGCGTAAAGGAGATTTTAAAAAAATTAAAGGTGAAATATGCAACTTTTCTGGTGGGGGGCTGATAGAGATGGAGATATTATTGCTTTGCCTGGAATGACCCACGGTATTAATGTTCTCCATGTAGAAGAGCAGGTGATGCCATCAGGCCCAGTTACAGGTCAGACATGTGGATAGGCAACCCTGCTCACACAATGCATGTTTTTCAAATCAATAACATGTTCATAGAGACAAACAACCAGAAAAGTTACACAGTGAACCTTTAAATGTGTGAATTAGATTCAGAATTTGGTTTTGGTTTAAACGTACCCGACACCATCTCACCCAGACTAGAGGACGAGTTCCCACTGGATTTGCTCCTATGAAAAGAAATGTGGTTCAGGACATGGTATTCATTCAGTATCAATGTTAATACATTATGCTGTTACTCTAGTGGGTTATTTTCTTTCAGACACTGTCGTCTTCAAATCCAAATCCGTATGCTTAATCTTTATTATATAGCACATTTTACAAACAAAACAAAAGGAAATCAAATGTTACTCAACAGTGACCGCCCACCCTCCTGTAAATTAAAATAAAGTAACGTAAATCATACATTTTCCCCATAGACCTTTTGAAAAAAAAAAAAGTTTGAAAGCTTGCTCAGAGCTAATCAGCATTGTGATAACTAATAACTACAAGACATACAATTTTATTTAAGATCTGAACTGCTAAGTTATTAAAACATTTTCCTGAATCTTGTGTTTTAAATTTTTAGACTTAAACAATTGCGTCCTGGATATTTGTTAGCACATAGCTGGTTAGCCTCAGAGATGTCTTTAAACTATTAATACTAGATTTTTCGAAAAGTCTATGAGAAAAATTTATGGAAAATTTACTTCTGGAACTGAAACCCACTTTGAAGTGGGTAAATGAGTAGGGAAACAACTATAACATGGTTAAATGCTCTGAAATCAAGATTTTTTTCTGCGGTCTACATGTCAGTAAAGGTTAAACTTTTGAACATTTCCAAACTTGATGAATTATTCTGGCAGATAATTAGGGTTATACTCTGATAATATCATCTGGAAGAAGATGTTTTCAGTTTATTTTGTTTTTGCTTATTGACACCACACTCCTTAAATTTTGATTAAAAGATCCACAAATATTTATCAACAAAAATAAGACAGAAATCTGCTGTGAAGCGGTGCCCAGTGGTTTTGGCCATTTGCTTGTGCTATCATTATAAACTCTGCCAAGTAACATCAAAACACTGCGGCTACACCAGGTCCAGAATATTCAGAACAAACATGCGAGACAAAAATAACTGTTTAATCACCTTATGGCCATCTCACCGGCTCTGGCTACTGTCCACACACACCTTGAGTCTTTCGGACTACAAAATGCTTTCTGGCATTTTTACACTTGGTCTTTCATTAAAGAGGGGATATTATGCAAAATCAACTTTTTGGAGATATATATCTTGATAATGCTGTTCCCTGATCCAAAATGTGGTTGAAGAGGTTTTATATGTCACCCAAGCATGTTTGAGTAATCTAGCAATCTCTCCGGGGCCATTAATAAATATATACAACAACTACAACTTCACAAACCTGATGCTATGTGTGGTAGTTTTAAAAGCAGGATGTACAGTGATTGTGTTGTGATAGTACTCTCATGTAGCATGGAGAACAAAGGGAGGGGAGACTTGAGCGTCCAAAACTATAATGAAACATTTTAATATGTTGTTCTTGGCAAATAATATTATTAAAAACAATAAAAGGTAAAATGGTGATCAAAATATGTTATTGGTTAGAATTATGTGTAAAACTCCCTCTTTAAATACACCTCTTAGGGGAAATAGCCTATAACTTTTAATATTGTTTTCAAACCATGCTTATGTCTGATTACAGCAACCTTTACCATGATGTACAAATGTATCTCCTACTAATTGTTTTTGTCTTTGCACAACCAAAACTAAGTGCATTTTCCTTAATACGCTCCAGTGTGAACAAAGGACAATTTGATTACTTTGAAAACCTTAACTGATTATCTTTTATATGGCCACAGGCTTGCATTTACTTCACGAAATAGTTTAAGAAAATACTCTGCTGTTTGGGGGTAGTAAGACCACAGCCATACTGTTACTAAATCCCGCACTATACCAGAACTAAACCAGGATTAGACCAGAATTAAACCAGAACTAAACCACGATTAGACCAGAACTAAACCAGGATTAGACCAGAACTAAACCAGGATTAGACCAGAACTAAACTAGGATTAGACCAGAACTAAACCACGATTAGACCAGAACTAACTAGGATTAGACCAGAACTAAACCAGGATTAGACCAGGATTGGGAACACACCAGGACAACTGTGAACAGTCTGTGTAGCTCTGTTACCGGTGCATTAATATTATTATAAAACATGACATCGCCTGTCCAAAGAGTCTGTTTCTTTGTCTGCACATTAATTGTCTCTGCATTTTTGATTGAATTTTGTGTATTGATGACATAGACAATAGAGGGATTCCTTTTGTTACTGTTATTTTATGTATTTTTCATCTCTTTTTTAACAAACTTCCACTTAACTGAAGTAAATCATAAATACTTACCACAAACACTAACCCACCAAACAAAATAATAATTAGAAAATCTATGACATTTAAATAGATTTCTCACCCATGAAATCGTCCCCTCTTCTGCTCCTGCTGCAGTCGGATGTTTTCCAGTTTTAAAGGGCTTGGGATGAAGCCGATCTCACAGCCCTCCTTCACTAAACGCCCAATCCACCAGTCATTATTGTACTTCTGCAAATCACAAGGTACACAAGTAGTAGTTTAAAAATTCAAAAAGTTCAAATCCAAGTTGTATAGCGCATTTTATGAATTAGATACTGTATTTTTCGATTCTTCTTAAGAAACGCAAATTGACTAATATTTGTACCTTGGAAATTCAAAATTGTGTTGTTTTGTCTTTGTGTTAAGCATGTGACCCCTGTTCTAAGGCAAATTTCTCCCATGGGAGACAATAAAGGATTATCTTATCTTAAAATGGTTGTTTATTTTATAATGTCATAAAACCATTAGGATTTAGATCAGTTAATCAGTGAAAGTATATTATGTGTGTTTCACTTTGCCTCCAGTTACCTCTGTTCCAGAATTTTGAACATTCTGAAAATGTAAAATTTTAAAGGTCTATATACTAGCAAAGGTGAAAAATCTGCAACTCACACCAAATCGACCAAACAACCAAACAACTGTGCACATTCATTATTTCACTTTGATTAAAACGCCCACCCTGTTTCTGCTTCTTCTCCTGCTGTTGTATACTTATAAATGATTCGTATCCGTGAATAGCACCTCTTTGATGTGCAGGAAGTCCTTGGCATCAAACGAGACCCCAGTCCCAGCTACGGGGACATCCTCATCCAGAGCGCCACAATAACTCACATTTGTGCGGACCGCGAACGCCACGCCCTTCGTCTGCAAGCAGAAAGGCCAGCACTGAATAAAACAGGGCAATTAAAGCACGCTTTATTTACAACAGAGAGATAGATGAGTTAATCAGGATCCAGTGGTGCAGAGACGAGAGGGAGAGAGGGAGAGAGGGTAATATAACATGGCTGTAATGAGGAGTAGCCAGGCCTGTAGCTTAATGCAAGAAGTTAAATTAATTAAATGGAAGTTGGGGTAGCTGGTGTATTAAATTGGAGTATTTTTATTGTGAAAAGCAGAGTAATTATACAAAAAATATAATGACCCAAAAGTAGTAACAAAAGAGAAGAGCTAACTTTCCAAAATGAAGAATAAAATAAAAGTTTTTAAAAATCCAGTGTAAAAATGTATTGGTGTGACCATGTATATGGTTGGTGGTATGTAGTTATACCAGTTTGTCAAAGCCTGGTCTCATCTGATCTCAGAAGCTAAGCAAGACCGGGCCTGGTTAGCAGTTTGGGATGGAGACCACTGGAAAGACCAGGTGCCACAGTGGGGCGGCAAAAACAGTTGTGTCCTTAGGCAACACACATTACCTAGTATGAATGTGGTGTGTGCATGTTGATGATGGTTGCAGGGGCTGATGGTGCAGAATGGCCTCACTTCTGTCAGTCTGCCTCAGGTCAGCTGTGGCTAAAATATCAGTTTACCACCACTAAGAGTGGAGTGAATGAAAAATACACTGTAAAGCACTTTCAGTATCTTGAAAGATGCTATATAAATTCAATGGTTAGTTAGTAATCTCTCTGTTGTCCAGGAAGTATCAATGGCAAAAAGCAGTGTAGATTTTTTTTTAGAGTGACTACGCTTCTCCCCTCATCCAGCTTGTTGAGTTGTGACAGGGTTCTGATAAGTGTAACTAGCTCTTCCAAACAGACAGATATTTAAAGCTGTCACTTATCAGAACCTGTCAGAATTGTCCATCAATATTCTGTCTCGCCACATCTTGGAAACTAAGCAAGAATACCAGGTGCCACAGTGGGGTATCATTGACAAAACTGTTGTTGTGTTGTGTTTGTGGTGGTGGTTTGGTGTGTGTGTGACTGTTGGAGGATGGAAGGGTCAATGGCACAGATTGGCAGCCTCACTTCCTTCAGTATGCCCCAGTGAATGAATGATGCATTGTAAAAGGTCTTTGAATGTCCAAAAAAGTACTACATCAATCCAATGAGATTTTCTTTTGCTAAGCATATAATTACTTTTACTGTGTTAATTTCCACCACTGCCAAAAACAGAAGAGTCCCTCCTGACCTTTGCCCTCTCGAGCTGGACGGTGGCCTGCTGCTCTCGCTCCTGTCGGCCCCCCTCCTTCTCCTCCTCCAGAGACACATCCGAGTCTGAGGGTCGGCTGGTGTACGAATCCGCTGAGCCCTGAAGCAAAACAAAACATAAGGGTTAGAGCTATAAATGTTAACGGATACTGTACAAACAGCTATGGGAAAGCACCAGCTCTAGGTCCTCTGATGATTAGTACAAAAGACACTCTAGCCCCATAAGGCAAATTCACACATTCTTCATAAAACATATAATGACCTTTGCATAAAAGCTTTAGGCCAAACCAGAGGACAGTCCTGAAGGGATTTTTGCTGTCTTTACAGGTGCACTGTATAACGATAGAATTTCATTAACACTTAATAATAACTACACTTAGCATTAATAAATATGAAGAGTAAAATCATATAAACAAATACATTATTAAGGATGATTCAGGCTTAGTAACTCCTAAATTAATACCCTTGCCAAGCGGTTTTCAATAAGTGAGCCTCAGCTCCCGTGGGGGGCGCCAAAGAGTCACTGGGGAGGCGTGACACACGCAAACTAAACCAGGACTGATCCCAGGACTGAACCAGGAGGACTAAACCAGGACTGAAATAGAACTAAACCAGGACTAAACCAGGACTAAACCAGAACTGAACCAGGACTGAGTATCGGGACAGGCCTGAAGGTGCGCCCGTATACTGTTGGGTGACCGTAGGTGAAAGAACTGGTGCAGAGCTTTCACCCCACGGAGCTAAGTGCAGCTGTCGCCCGATCGTGCTTTGCGAACACCCTGCTCCCTGGGCTCGGGGTTCTCTCTCTCTCAAGTCCAAGATTAGGCCTGTTTTGGTCCTGGTTTAAACTTGATTTAGTCCTGGTTTAGACCTGGTTTAGTCCTGGTTTAGTCCTGGTGTCCTACTGATGTTCAGTGATGTTAAAAGGCCTGCATGAATTTGGAAATTATTTGCTGTTGTAAAAATTGTTTATGAATGCACTTTAAAAAGTACACTATCAGTTCTTATTGAAACTCATCATTGGCAGGAACACAAAAGATGCATTTACTTCTGTGGCTTGTGTGGGGTAGGGCAGGCCGATGGGATTTTGGGCAAAGAGGGACTCAGCTGTCTTTATCTACTCTAAGGGGAGGCTCACATTCACCTAGTTTGAAAACCCCTGCCCTAGCCCCTTAATTAAAGCCACAGTATGTAACTTTTTAGCCACAAAAAATTGGATGCGATAAGATTAGATATTTAGAACAAAGATGAGAGAAAAAAAATAACTGTTCAATAGCCTTATAGTCATCTCACTGAGGCTGGCTACTGTCCACACACACCTTGAGTCTCTTGGATTACAAAATTATTTCTGTTATTTGTACACTTTAGCTTTCAGATGGGGCACTACACATCGATGCGGTATTCATTGCTAACTCATTTAGATCGCCAAAAATAACGTATTAGCATGTTTTATAAGATTCAGTTTTGTTTTTGCCACTCTGTCTCCCCTCCTTTTACTCCCTGTGCAAAGTCACCCCCCCTCAGAGTGAAACACTTATCATTAATAAAGCACGAACATGTAATTCACAATAAACACAGAGTTTATTAAGAATGATTCCAGTTTAGTGACTACTAAATTAATACCCTAACTCCTAATTGTAGCCTCTTCATTAAAGCCACAGTATGCAACTTTTTAGCCAAAAAGATTTCCCGTTTTGATGGAAATGTCATGTAAATTATCTATTTCTGTGGAAACAAGCAAGTTCAACCACGTTAGAGGTCAGATCTGTGGAAAAGCAAGCAACACACAAGCGAGCCACACCCTAAACCAATTTACTATAAGGATTATTTAGTTGTTTGCAAGATGAACAACATTTTGGATAGAGTACGTTTATCAGCCTTATGAAGCGAGGTAATCCCCCTCACTGTGATCAAAGGCGGGTAGATTAAAGATGTCTCAAAATAAGCTTCACAGGGACAGAGCTTTTTGTGTTAAAATTAGTCTGAATCAAACTCAGTCGTGAGGCTCAGATGTAACACAGCTCTTTGTTTTAGCAGCTTTGAATTTAGAGGTAAAAATAGACACATCTTTCAGTGCCTGCAATGACCAGTCAAGTTGTCTCTCATGTCTGTAACTAAAATCTTTTTGAGTATGACAGCAAGATAAATGGACATGCAAAGTATCAGATATTGTAACATATCTATATATTTTGCATTATCCCGATCAGGATTTTCAAATAATATTATGGCAATTCATCAGAAATGTGTTAAAAAATGTCTGAAATGTGTTAAAAAATGTCTGTAAATGTATAGGAGTGAATGTAAAATCCATATCACATACCCTTGTTTGAAATATTAAAAGCATGAACTGGTCTTCAATGCAAATTTACATACTGTACTCAGTCATACAGTAAATTTAAAAAAAGGCACTATGTGTTCTAGTATATATTTACAATTTATGACACCTTTGGATCATTATTTTATAATTTGCACATTTTAAATCACAATGTTCATCTAAAATAGCCTGATTCATCAGCTGGTTTCACTTCATAGAAACTGTCTGACGTCGCAGCTTTAGAATTTGTTCGCTCGACAGTAGGCGGGCACGTTTTTTCATTTAACCAATTGCTGCTATTTGGTCAATTAAGCTTTTCCCAAATCCTGTAGGAAGAAGGGCAATAACGTCTTTCCCCTTGATAAAATTCACCAAACAATCTCTTTGTTCCGGTTTTAAATCCTCAATCTTGGGAATCGTTGTGACCGAACTCGTAATTTTTTGCGAATCTTCTAGTGAATTCTGATTCCTGACCTAGTCACTGGAGAGAAACCACTGAAAATAAGTATGTTAATTTATGTGTTTTTCAGGCACCACATGTTTTAAGACACTTTAAATTTGCACAATAGTGTTTCTATGAACAGATTTACAGTATACAGTAGGTTATGTTTATTCCTTTGGCATGACTTAACCTCATGTCCCTCGGGCCCAGAATTACCCACAATTCAGTGCTTTAAAAGAGACCGTTTTGTGTTCCTCGGGTCAGTGACACATCATGAGCTGTAGATGATCGTGGAATGAAAAACAAAGCTACAACTGTACAAGTGTAGTCTATAGTTATATAAGAGACTGAGCAGAGTGTAACTAAGGCTGCTTGTCTCCATGGATATGTAATTGCTTTGAATGTTCCATATTGTGACATTAAACATCTATCATAGATGTATTCAATTACAAAAAATAGCTTGAAAAACATGCCTCTTCACAGTTTGGCCTAATGGCATCACTTACTTATATCCACTGTGATGGGTGAGCTACTCTGTCCAAATAATTTCCCTTGTGGATCAATAAAGTTTGTCTAAGTGTACGTCTAAGCATTATTGAGCTCCAGAGAATTATCTGTGTAGCACTGAGTCTGATACTGCACTTAATATTACAATATTGAGCATCACTAAATGTCTTCACAGCCCTAGTACAATGCATGACTCATATCTGAATCTGAAGAAGCACATTTGTCCCATATTCTTGGCACCACATTTGAGTGAAGCGTGGATTTACACAGTCCCCGCTCAGACTGTAGCCCACAGCAGCAGCACACTCTGGGGTCCCACTGATAATTATTGCTCCTCACTGATGAGTTTAACAGGTTAATCAAGTACAGTGAAAATATACTCTAAGTACTATTTCACATTTCACAC